TATTTGTTTTTCTATATGAAGTTGAGTATTGTTCTTTCCAGGTCTGTGAAGAATTGTGTTTGGATTTTGATGGGGAATGCATTGAATCTGTAGATTGCTTTTGGTAAGATTACAATTTTACTATGTTAATATTACCTATCTATGAGCATGGGAGATTTGTCCATTTTGAGATGTCTTCTTCATTTTCTTTCTACAGATACTTAAAGTTCTTGTCATACAGATCTTTCACTTGCTTAGTTAGAGTTACCCCAAGGTGTTTTTTATTATTTGTGGCTATTGTAAAGGTGATGTTTCTCTGATTTCTTTTTCAGCTCATTTATCATTTGTATATAGGAGAGCTGCTGGTTTTTTTGAGTTAATCTTGTATCCTGCCACATTACTGAAGGGGTTTATCAGCTGTAGGCGTTCCCTATTAGAGTTTTTGGGGTCACTTATGTAGACTATCATATCATCTGGAAACAGAAAGAGTTTGACTTCTTCCTTTCCAGTTTGTATCCCCTTGTTCTCCTTTTGTTGTCTTTTTGCTCTAGCTAGGACTTTGAGTACTATATTGAATAGATATGGGGAGAGTGGACAGCCTTGTCTTGTTCTTGATTTTAGTGGAATCACTTAGAGTTTCTCTTCACTTAATTATATGGTGGCTGTTGGCTTGCTGTAAACTGCCTTTATTAGTTTTAGGTGTATGTTCCTTTTATTCCTGATCTCTCCAAGACCTTTATCTTGAAGGGGTATTACTTTTGAGACTTGTTTGTTCCTAAAAATATCAGTTGAAATCAAGATTTGGAGCTTTATCAGGCTACAACAGAGTGCAGTATAACACCATTTGTATTATGCTATGTCCATATTCATTGGTTACTCAGATGAGAGCTTGGATCATATGGTGAGTAGCACATCCTGGCATGCATGTATTGAGGATGGTACATCTTGTAAATAAAATGTATGTGTTCCACACAGTTGGTACTCAGGGTATCAACTTATATCTGTATATGAAGTTTGAGAGTCTAAGATTTTCAACAAACATTCTTCCGTGTGTCTCTTTTGAGGCCTTGATTGACTATAAAATATCAAGTTCTGGGATCAGAGTTCCCTCTAACTACCAGATAGATATGTTAATGATGTCCATTTGCTTTCATCTGTAAGGGAGCCATTGGCTCCATTGAGAACATGGTATTTCTGGTACCTTTTGGTTAGGGTGTTGGATGAAGAAGAAAATATTCTGCCCTCACATCCTTAATGTTCAGGGCTTCTGAGTTTAATTCTTGCTCAGTAGGCTGCAGGTCTCCACTGATAGCAGTTTATGGTAAGGTGTGTTTCTCTTCTTAGATTGACTGGACTCCTTTCACACAGGGCTTGGTCCTTGGCTACTTGATCAGTGTTTGGTCTAGGAAGAGTTCTTCATTGTGGTTGGAACAGGCTCCATTTAAATTGTCTCTTCAAATTGGACTTCTTACGGTCAACATTGTCTGACCACATATCTCTCATTGGGTTGGCAGGAGCTCCCTTGATTTTGGGGTTTGTGGTTTCTCTTCATCAAGGTCTGTGGTTGGCCTGTAACATTTCCACTTTTGATTTTGCCTGGTTTGTTCTTTGAGCTTTGTATGAGCTCTGAATTCTTCCCAGTCAATATTTTCCCCAGACCTGCTTCTGCATTTGGTCCTTGGTGTCTTCAGAATAAGGAGTAGAGCTGGGCATGGCTGTTTTCTTGGTTTTCTCTAGGTGTTCTTTCTTTAAGGAGATGGCCCAGTCCCACTTCTCTTCTTTATTAGGATCCAGACATTCATAGTGAGGACTGGACTCAGGCGCACTAATTTTCTCGGTTTTTGCCTGGTCTTTTTCATCCTTAAGGTTATGATGTGGCCCACATCTCTTCTTCCTTAGGCCCATACTTCATCAGGGTAAGGATTATAGGCAGACAGTTTTTTTTTTCTTGCTTTGTTCTTGGCCTCTGTCATTTAGGAGAATGTCCCAGGTCGTTTTCTCTCCTTGTTTTGTCTAAGGCTTTTGTCAGGATAAGTGTTAGGCCCCTGTGTTTCCTTTTCCTGCTTTGTCCCGGCCTCTCATTTGAGTGATTGGTCTGGGCCCATGTCCTTCTTAGTTTGGCCCAGTCTTCTTCAGGGTCAGAGTTATGCTAAGGCCAACTTCTCATCCTGGTGGGGGCACTGGCTTCAGTCCAGGTAAAGTTGAGGCATGGATATTCTCCTTTTCTTTCTTTGAGCAAGGTCTTTTTCTTCTGAGGGATAGTGTAGTACTAATTTCCCTTTTGGTTGGGGCCAACCTTCTTCAGGGTCAAGATTAGGTATGGCTATTCTTTTCTTTTCTTTTTGTTGCATTTCATTTTGTTACTTTTCTTTCTCCTTTGGTCTTGGCTCTTCCATTTAATGGACTGGCCCAGGGATACCTCTGTTTTTCCTCTGGGTCAGAGCTTATTCAGCTTCAGTTTTGGTGCAGGCCTCTTTTAGGTCAGGGTTTGGCAATTTTATTCTTAGGGTTGGTCCCTGGCCTTTCTGGATGAGGGAAAGCCATTGCTAAGTTAGGCTTTATTCCTGGTCTTCATCAGGTTCATCCTCAGGCCTTGGAATACTTTTGTCTTGACATCATGGTTTGATGGTTAATCCTGGTCTACTTTCACTTTAGGTACTTAGCATGGGCTTTTTCAGGGACCATGTTGGCCTGGGCTACTTTCAGGGTATGGTGGTATCCAGGCAGTTTTTGTGTTAGAGTGAAGCCTGCTTACATTGATATTCTGGGACTGTCTGGTACCTGTTTCTCTTTAGCATTGAAGCAGTGGATACTTTTGAGTCCAGGTTTGTCTGAATCTGCTTTGTAATTTGTAATTAGCCTTGGATTATGCTCAGCCTTTCTGAAAAAAATAACATGTGGATATTGATAGAGGACTGTATTTATTGCCCTTCCCTTTCATCTCAAGTATATTATGAGGAACATTGTCTTTTTCCAAGGGAAATGGCTACAGACACCAGCACACACAGCAGAGACTCCAGATGAAATGATCTACATATTACACAAACAGAAAGGGGAAGTAGGGAGGAGACAGTGGTGCTTGGGAGAGTCCTTGCTGCTGCATTGGTGACTGTGGCCATGGTAAAGAGGCACTATGGGCTCATGTGAAAAATTGTTGCTTCTCAGTAAAGATACCAAAATAGAATCCCGACAAGGTCTCTGCTACCTTTCCTTCCTTCTGTGGTCTGCTCCCATGAAGGCATATCACAGACAGTTAATATAACAGCAGAGGCTGGTCCTCCATTGATCTAAGGCTGCCTTGTTAGACACATGACGGTTGTGCAGACCTTCTTGTTGCCTCTTGTGCAGTGTGGGCATGGTGTCCCCTCCTGTATGTCATTCATGGCATGCACTATGAGGGTGCTTCTTTGGTCCTTGCTATGGAAACACTTCTCAATATGTCATTTGACTTCTGCCTTGACAACCCTTGGAACAATGAACCATGAATTAGTGATCCCTTTCAAGAAAGCTCCTTGTCATGTCCATTCACTGACGTGCGATCAGGTCTTCCCACAAAGCATGTCTGCACTGACTTAACAGAAATTGATTCCTGCTCACATTATTACTGTTGTGAATCACAGGCCACTTTAATAGAGTGAGCTGCCAACCTGTCAAGGGCACACATGTAACCATGAAAGTGATTCCTTATGGAAAGTCACAGAGGCCAGGCCTCACTGTGCTCAGGGGAGCACAAAGGTGGTCAAGCTATGCAGATGTTTTTGGACTGGTAATTAGGAAAGGTGCCCAAAGGCCACAGTTATCATCATTGCTTGGGGACAACTTCCCATCCAATCATCCTCTTCTACTACAGAAGTTCACTGCTGAGAAGAGGAAGGTCATTGGGGATGGGGCAGAATCAGGCCATATGTTCAAAGTTCAAATACTCGTCTATCATTTCTGAGACTCAATTTATCATCAAGATTATCTTATCATGAGTCTTGTATTGTGCCATCTGCAGTAACTGGGGCTTAGGGAACAGAACTGTTTGAAATTTGCCCTCCAGCCTGTCCCTTCACCAATATTAAACACAAGTTGAAGTGGGATTGACCAGAAAGCAGAAAGCCATGAGGCTTTCCCTACCTCCTCTCATCATGGTAGTTGATGACTTCTGAGGCTGTCACTCACTGGATAGCAGTGTAACAGCAGTTCATCCTGTCCCATTTTGGAAAGTGGAGTCTTGGGACAGGTGCTGACTCTGCCTCAGCTGTTGTCACCTTTTCTAACAAATGCTAGTGGAGATTAGTAGTACAAAATAATGGACATATCTCACTTTGAGCAAACCCCTTCCCAATCTCCCATTGTCCTTTGCCTTCATGCCTCTCTCCTTCCCTGAAAGTTTATCTCTCACAGCTGGTCTCAGATTTCCTGCAATACTTCTAGTTCAGACTCCTTAGCGTTGGGTTTCCTTTATATTTATTTATTTATTTATTTATTTTTACTATGGATGCTTTTTTCTTGCCCTAATATGACATTTTTTTTTTTTTTTTTTTTTTTTTTTTGGTTTTTTCGAGACAGGGTTTCTCTGTGTAGCTTTGCGCCTTTCCTGGAACTCACTTGGTAGCCCAGGCTGGCCTCGAACTCACAGAGATCCGCCTGGCTCTGCCTCCCGAGTGCTGGGATTAAAGGCGTGCGCCACCAACGCCCGGCCCTAATATGACATTTAAGGATAGTGGGAAGGAGGCATCTTAGAGATCTGAGGAGTTAGTTAGTCAAGGTATCACAGTGTTCCATTCCTCTATCTTATGAGGACGGAAACATACATTTAAGAATTGTAGCATACAAAAAGAAAGAAAACCAAACTGAATTAACATGTTTTCTACTGGTCCTCAACCAATAAAATCTCAGTTATAAAAGAAAAACTCATGGGAATTTCTTCCTGTTTTCTCTAGATGCAGCATTGTGCTATTCTCAAAGCCAAACAGTGTTTAGGGAGGGTGGCCTCAATAAAACCAGGTATCTAATCACAGACTTGAAATGATTTTCCTGTCTGCAGCAGCAGAATCCGGAAGAAGAGAAATTATACAGTTGCCCAGCAGAGATGCCTCTTTGCTGTCTCAGCCTGGAGGCCTGTGGTAACAGTTACAGTAGGAACATCCCACCTGGAAGTCTTCCAGTGGACATCATTGTATCCTGAGAACCCACAATTTCCTGGTCCTCACCAAGTTCTGGATAGCCAGTAAGTGTTTTTAGTTTTACTTGTTGGTGATGATTTACTATAATCTGAAAGTGCAGTAGAAGAGGAAGGAGAAACTGAAAACTTACATGTGCTTGGTGTCAAATGTTATCTGAAGGGCTTAATATGTGACATAGATTGTAGATATCCATCTAAGAAAGGTCCTGAAACATCTACACATTGTTAGCAACATCTTAGACAACATCAGTATTCTAGAAGCATGGAAATTCCATGCACAAAATGCAGCATGATAAAGCATGCCCCACCCAAAAGTAATAGTGCCACTAGCCCATCATAAAGGATGAGGGCACCATCATTGTTGTGCCACCATACACACATGCTTTTTCACAAACTATACTCACATATATGTGCCCACATTCATACATTTAGAAACATGTATTTGTCTACACATTTGTATGCACACATACACACACATACACACACACACATGCAGACACATAGAAATATACATTAAATTAATTAGATGTACAATAATTTGGCATAACAAAATATAAAAAGAAACAAACAACCTTTGTGGTATTGGTAAGCATGTGTATGGTATGCATGTTGTACGCATAGCTATGGGTATAGTTATGTGCATGTTTTTATCAGTACCTATATGATATACATAATATGTACAACCATATCTAACTGCATATACATGTGTTTATAAATATAATGATAAACTGAAATCCCAACTCCCAGACACCCGCCAAGGAGGCAGCAGAACTTTCCGAGTGGCCACCTTGCTGTGTAAGCTCTTTTCTACCTTCAACTCTGAGTACCTGTCATGTTTGTTTGAAAGGCATAACTTTTTAATTCACAACAGAGACACTGTTTTGCCTTATTAGAAAATATGTAAAATGTAACTTTCAAAAAATAGAAACATGAGAAATAATCTTTGCTTTTAGTATCTAGAAATGAATATCAAAACTTCCTTCAACACTTTTTTCTATAACTGTATATCATTTCAATACTTTAATATTAATCTTATTTTTTTTAATTTTTCTCACCTGAATAATGCAGTCTTCAATATATATAAGTCATGAGGTATCATTCTCCGTGATGGTATTGGCCACTACTGTCTCTATCTAAAACATCTTCTAGTTGCCTAGAAGTCGAGTTGTTAATTCCTGCTTGGACTAGTTTATATTTCTGTGTAGACTTAGGAAACATTTATTACACTAGGCTTTGAAGATACAGAGGTAACTAGGGTGAGTAGCATGGGAAGGGGATGGCTTGGGTGGGCTGACTGCATGTGTTGGGAAAGTTCTAGTTAAATGGGTGAAAAGTCATGTCTGAATTAATAGGAGGCAAAAAGGCAGAACACAGGAGAAAGATATTTCTGACTCTGCATGCTGCTACTCAGTGTAGAACAACAGATCAGCTCTTACCCACTGCATGACACATGGCTGTCCCAGATTTCTACTTAGCATGGTGAAATTATTGTCCTTGGCTTGCTCTACAGTGGTGTCTATAAAGATGATACAGGTCTAAAAGCATTTGTAACAAATACAGCTAAATGTACAACCCCTTACAAGGTATTCTGCATCAGAGCTGGTTTATACCAAAGTCCATGCTCAAAGGGTCGTCGAGAAGTAGAATTCTTTCCTGAGTCCATTGTTCTCTGTGATTATGTTGGATACCTACTGTCTTAGTTAGAGTTTCATTGCTGTGAAGGGACACAATGACCAAAGCAACAATTATAAAGGAAAACATTTAATCAGGTGGCTTACAGTTTGAGAGGTTTAGTTCATTATGATCATGGCAGGACATGGAGGCATGCAGACAGGCATGGTGCTGGAGAAGGAGAAAAATGTGGAGATGAAGCTATATCTTGATCCACAGGCAGCAAAAAGTACTCTGAGACACTAGGCATGGCATGAGCATAAGAGATCTCAAGTCTCCCCCACTGTAACATAATCCTCCAAAGGCCACACTCTCTCCAACAAAGCCACACCCCCTAATAGTGCCAATCCCTATGAGATTATTGGGGCTTAATTGCATTCAAATTAACAAACCTCCAAGATATCCTTAGAAGGCATAATAAAACAGATTATGGTGGGGCTAATAGAAGTTGTTTTTGAGAGGAGAGTACTTTTTTTAAAAAGAGGAGAGTCTTATCATTTGTTTCTACCAATCTTAGGTTCCTTTTTAGGGACTCCACAACAAAACAGAGATTAACAAAAGAAAAGCATATTCACTTACCTAGTGCAAACTTTCACAGCACAAGTCTTCCTAAGGTAGAAAAAAACCCACCAAAATTGCTTACATATGAGATGATTTTTTCAAGATTGTTTTCATCTAGAATTGTCATTCCATAGAATATCCTGTGCTTAAGAAGTAACCCTTAAATGTGCATATTTTCACATAATATTAAGTAAATATTCTAATTTACAATTGAAAGAGTCACGTACTTTAAATGTACATTAATAGCAACATTTTGACTTCACTTAATCAGTATCAAATTAATTAAATGTAAAAGCATATAGTATTGTTGCTCAGCCATTGAGTGAACAAGGGAGTTGGGAGAAGACAAACACAGCATTATCAGCTGCCATCCATCCCCACCTCACTGTCATTTGCCCTGGGGTGCCTCTAACCCTGAATCCTAGACCCCCGTGCACCCAGCCAGGCACCATACTCATTTGGAGAGGTCCCTCTTAGACCCAACTTAATGAGCTTCCAGCTATCAGGAAAAGGATGGAAAGAGGTATCTCTCACTGAAACTGTTTGATACGTATGAAAGTATAAGAGCAACTACTACCACTGTACATGCCTGCGCTGTCTTTGAACAGGTTTCATTCACTGGTCTATGCCACCCCTAGTCAGGCTACCAAGCATGAAAGACAAGAACAAAGCCTTTGACACCAACATCTCACTTGTGCCTAAAGTCTCAACAGGAAGAACAAGCAAACAGAATTAATCCATCCCCAGAAGTCCCCATGCCTCATCCAAATGGCAGCCACCACAAGCTTCCCAGACTCCTGCCAAAAACTGTCCCAACAGCCCCAGAACACTCCTTAGGTTAGAAGTGGGGTAACATCCCAGGTGCAGGTCGAGTGATCCATGGAGCACATGGAGATGGTGAAACGGCATCAGTCCTGCTGTGGAGATTATCTCAAGAGGAATTACTGACCCTGCAGGCTGCTAGAAACCAGAACAAGGCTACCAAAGAAAGAGAGTCTTCCAAACACTCATCTGGTCTCATATCAGGCTTCTGTCCCCAAATTCTACAATGTGTAGGGACAGAGGTGCACATGGCCCCAAAATTATGGGCCCTTACTCTAGATTTCATTATGGTCCTGATCCTTGGAGTGGGCTACAGCGTTCATGTTCACCAGAGTTCCTTCCCTACCACAAAATGGTGCCTTTATGTATCTTCCATGTTTCCTAATACCCTTACCCTTCTCACCTCGGGGACGTTTTCTGATACTCAACTCCTGGTGGGCTCAGTCATTTCACCCATGCGGCATGACATTGAGCCGTGGACATGCACCATGGCTCAGGTCCAGCACTCTGTCTCTGAGAGCATGTAGTAGACCGGAGCTTTTGTTCTAGAGTTGATGGAAAGTGGAATGTTATGAAACGTGTGTCAAAATGAAAGCAGTAGGAGTCAAGCAGATGAATGGCAAATAGTGAGGGCTTTTGGATCATGTCCTCTCTGTGTGCCTTCATCAGTCTTCAGATATGAGGCTGCACCTTTCCTCCATGGAGGGACATGTGGTGCTTCTGACCTGCTTCAGGAAATTGTCTGGAAATCCTTTCTAGGTTTTATGAGCAGTTTCAGGGGAAGATCTGAGTCCTTCCTCAGATTCATTCATCCACTCAAATACCTACCTATGTCAAGCCCCATGTTTTGATATAGCATATTCTGAATACCAACAAGTATGAAATAAAGCAAAAGTCTGGGTATAATTAATGACTGTGCTTATATTTGATCCTGAAGTGTATCTTTTATATAAATTTAAAGATGCATCTCAGTATATCATGTTCTGTGCATGTCATTTTACATCAACTTTTCAGTAATTCTTGTTTTAAAAGTATCTAGAGATTGAAATGTACAAGGTACTTCATCTAAGTGGAATGTTTTCACTGAGTCTTTTAGACATTCGTATTCTAAAACATGTAGTAACCACAAAGGCTATTTAAGTTCTGGAGTACCTTGGAAATTTTGATCCTTGTAAGAATGTTATATTGGGATAAGTATGTGATGATTGCTGAAACTGGTTAAATGCTGAAACCTGAACTGTCCACAGTGGTCTCAGAGCACTAATGACTAAAGCCTTAGACTCTCAAAGGCACAATGCCAAGAAGGAACATGGCATTTCAATGACTCACCCTGGAACCTTCCTTGGTGCTTTTTCACTGGTTATTTCCAGTGAACTCACTGACCTGTATGGCAGAGTAACTTCGCTTTTGCCTTTTCCCATGAATTACTCTGGACAAGCAGTTTCTTCAAGCTAGACACACAGCAACCCTCATCCCATCAAGAATTCTTACCCCTGGGGTGAGCTTTTATTAAGAGTATCAATCATTTGAAACAAAATTCTGCACAAATTTTCCAATGCACTTTAATATTAAAATATTCTCTAATTTTCAGAACCACAAGTATATCCTCTAAGGCAGAAAGCCACGAGTTGATCATGAAAAGTACCAGGGAAGGGCCAATGAGATGCCTAGTTGCGTGGGAGGAAAGAGCTTACTCCTCCAAATTTGTTCATTGACCTCCATATAAATATAATGTCAAATTGGCATGGTGTGTATTGTATGTTCATTCTCTCTCTATCATATGTATGTATGTATGTATGTATATATGTATGTATGTTTGTATGTATGTATGTATGTATGTATTTCCCCCTCTCAAAATAAGTAAATGGATATATGTTATTATTTTAAATTCTGATCAGTAGATTTCCATCCCCTATTCATATGAAATAATTAATTATTAAAATAATGAAAGAAATCGATGCAGCTCACAAATGTTTGTAACTCCAGTTCCAGAGGATTTGACACCCTCACACAGGCATACATGACGGGAAAACACCAATGCATTTAAATTAGTGAATACACAATTAAATTTTTGTAAGTGATAGTGGGGTCAGGAGCCCCACAAGCATGCCACAGAACTAAATAACCTAGGCTTATAGTGAATCAGAGCCTGAACCACCAACCAGGGAACATGCATGGGACTGACTTAGGCCCTCTGCATATATTTTTCAGTTGTATAACTTGGTCTTCTTGTGAGACTCCTAACAGTGGGAGCAGGGCTTGTCTCTATTGCCTGCTTTGGGGACCCATTCCTCCTACTGAGTTGATATATCTACCCTTAATAGAAGAAGTCATGCCTAGTCCCACCATAACTTGATAAGACATGGCAGGCAGATATCCATAGGAGGCCTGCCCATTTCTGAAGAGAAGAAAGAGAAAGAGGAATGGATGTGGATCAGGAAGAGTGGAGGGGGGCGGAGGGTTGAGAGGAGAGGATGGAGGTGAAATTTTGGTTAGGATATAAGAACAAAAATAAACAAATAAATAAAATCATTCATTCTAAAAGAAGGGAGAATATTGATGTTTATCATATTTAAATTTGAGATTTAATAAATGTTTAATAAATGTCCCTCAAGGGACATTACCACTTATTCTAACTTTTTATTGTGTTTGTAGTTGTACAGGGATAGTTAAATCATGCTAGGCATAATTTTGAGCTGGTCTAATACATAATGTGTTTGCTTTGTACTTGGAATAATTATATCATGTTTAGGCATTATTATGACCTGGTTATTGTTTTACATTTAGAAATTAATCATGATATAAAAACATATAATTGTGTGTCAAGTTGACATGGGGTGAAGTTGTGATAGATATTTTTAGTTGTCAATTTTATTACATCTGGAATTAACTAAGACCCAAAAATGGCGGGGCATACCTGTGAGGTATTTTTGCTTAATTTGAAGAGAGAAAATCCACATAGAATCCAGTTCTTTGTGGTTGGAAGACATTATCTGGATGTTAATGAGGAAAGAAACACCTTTAACTCAGACATTTTGAGCCCCAAAACCTCATCTGTAATCTGAGCCAGGCCTTGTGCTGGAAGCCCATATACAGAAATGGAGGAAGGGAGCTTTTGCTCTTTAGCTGCTTGCTCTCACCTTGCTAGCAAGTCCATTCATTCACTGACATTGGAGCCATCTTCTTTGGGATTCCAGACTATACTACTGATGGGCTGAGACATCAAGCATGGTGGACTGAGCAACTACTGGATTCTTGGACTTTGCCATTATAGCCAGCCAATGTTCAATTAGCTGGACCACAGCCTCTAAGTCATTCTAAAAAATAGGCTTTTGTATGTATAGAAATGCATTCTATAAGTTGTTACCCCATAGAACCCTGACCAACAGCAGACAGGGATAAAACTTTTAGAGTAGTTTGGGCCTCACAACAGCATTATCTCAGTTATGAATTGCACAGAATCACTAGGCAAGAAAGTAAATTAAAACAAGTCTGAAATTTCTCAAAAGGAACACACAGTAATCTAATTAAATGAGTAATTATATGAGATGGACAGATTCTAGCTTAAGTGAGGAATGAAAAACCAGATGTCTTAGCTTCTGTGGGCCAAGACCTGGCAACACACACACACACACACACACACACACACACACACACACACACACACACACACACACTAAGATCAGAAGACAGTAGGTACCTTTTGCTCTTGATAGTGATAGTTCCAGTCTGGAGGCACACCGAATTACTTCCTTTACACATTAAATCTCTGCCTCACTCTCAGTCTCAGAACTCAGATCTATCCCAGAGGAGCTTCACCAGAGTAAATCAGTCATCTTGAAGAACTTTCTCGATATAATTGAGATCTACTATAGTAAAAGAGCAGCTTCAACCATTTCTCTCCTTTTTTAGTTTTGCCCAGAATTACTCTGCACCAGAGACATGTGCCCCTGATGCAGGCTCCATCCAATCCCTCTAGTCATGAGGTTCCTCCCAACATTGCTTATATGGACCATCAAGAGGGATTCCTCATCCTACCTCTACCCTCCGGAGGGTCTTCTCAATTCTGCATTTCATCAGACAGACTTAATAGGTGTTGTCAACCTAGAAGAGATCTAGCAAATCTGTTCCATTCTGACAATCAGTGAGACTCGGGCAGGATCCTGAACCTCTTAGGGTCCTGAATGGATGATGTGTGGCAGCCTAAGACAATTAGCATGCCTGTCCCTACAGGTTCCAAGAAACTTCAGTCTTTGGTGGGGAGTGATCCAATCCACCTAATACAGCACATGTCGCTGGGAGGACAAAGGTATATTGCAGGGTCTGGGGAGATGGCTCATCTATTAAGAGCATTTATTGCTGTCTCAGAAGACCCACAGGACAGCTAACAAACCTCTTTAACTTAAATTCCAGGTGGACTCTGCCCTCACCTGGCCTCTGTAGGAATTGCATGTATGTGGTGGTAAAACACTCCTAAGCATAAAGAAAACACCACAAAATATCCCAGCGTGTCTTGCAGGAAATTATCTCTACTGATCTGTTATCACTCATGATATATTCCAAGAAAACCAGAGGCAGATTGCTTTACATTTCCTGATTTCTTTTATACAATTTTAATGAACATTCTTATTTCCTGAGAAGCCTGGAGCAATATATTTTTGTTTCCCTTAATTTGGTCTACATTTTGATTTTGTGAACAAGTGTGTACAGTGTACCACATTTTACTGGTAGCTAAATATATGACCTCACAGATACAATATGTCTAGTTTTTCTCTTATATAGTTGTTATCCATGGAGTAGGCTATGCCATCCACATCCAGGTGCAATCCCCCTGTGTATCCCTGAGGCCCATGAATGGAAAATCCTTGTGCAGCCTGAGCTTCCTGGAACTTACTGAGATACATCCAAGCCTGTGATTTCTGGGTTTACGGGAGTGTGAAACCTCACCTGACTAAAGAAGAGTCTCAGAGTGAAAAGTTTGAAATTGTATTTTATTCATAAAATACATTCATTTTACTCAATGGGGCCTTCAAAACAGTATCATTATATACAGTGTATAGCCTTAGCAAACTATTAAAACAATGACAAGAATAAAAGTAATAACAAAAGTTAACAAAACCTTAAATGAAAATGAAGAAAACCCAAAACCAAAGCATAAATATCCCAAGATATAAAACAAAAATATTAAGGAGATTACAGTTTCCTTTGTAATTTCATTATGGATGAGCAAAAGAGGTAAGGAACTGGCTTATTCTCTGTAGTGAATTATCTTCAGCTACACTTGCCCATGACATGGTGTCAGCTTCTGCACTGCACTAGAGAGACTCTTGTACTTTTGGTGTGTTTTGTCTAGATGGCAGTGTGACATAAACACAGTCTTCCTCGTCAGTTTTCCCATCACATATGGAGTCAGGGTTCTTAATAATTTGTCTTGTGTTCTCTGTATTTTAGACTTATTTCTGACACAAAATTTTCTCCAGTGATAGTGAGCCCACTGATATGGATCCGATTGAGGCTGGATCGCTTGATGGTAGGTTGATATTTGCCTCACTATTGAGTTCAAAGCTGAAAAGAAGTGGCATTTTCTGAGGAGGCCTTGAACCTGGAGTGTAGAATGTCATGCCTTCAAGGTGTTTCTGGCTTCTTCCAGCCTTCTCAGTCTTCTTAACAGGTGCTGTCAGGTAAAATTAGTAAAGAAAGTATGATTCAGAAACAGCTTTGCTGTGCCACTGGCATGAAAATCAGGGCCTATTCATCCCTAGTAAACAAAAGTTAAGGAAGGAAACACACTCCATGATCCCTGGCTGCTGGGGATGGGGCTCAATTACTTGCCAGGGACATAGTGTTTCTGCTTCAGCAGCTCCATCTGCAGGAGGCTCTCATCCTGGGCTGTGGTCTGCTCCAGTTCCTGCTGGAGGTTTTCAAACCTAGGGGAGAAAGGCAGCTGGGGCACAGGCCTGGTGGGGACCTGCCATGTCAGCTTTTGAGCCCCCACCAGATCTACTCAGCTAGACAATCTAGCATTGCCTTTCAGCTGAGTTCATTCCCTGCTTCCCCAAGGGAAAAGGGTCAGAGAGCTACTGGGCAGGATTTTTCCTCAACTTTTAAAAACTGCTAGAAGTTGAACTGGAAAAGACACACTGTGCTGGATTAGAAAAAACAGCATGTTTCTCCAACAGTCCAAAGACATAATTTTGGAGAAATATCAGTATGACAAGGTCTGAGGCACAGGTCACGAGAGATGCAACTGGCCTTGATTAGATACCAGGTGAATGTGAACCTCCTGGAAAACTCTATGCCTGCCCTCTAGTGGAGCCTACACAGCAATGCAGAGAAGGCTCTGATGATTCCTACAGCCCAGACCCCTGCATGGGATTAACTTGTCAACTCCTACTCTGTTTAGGACCAGAGTAAATCTTCTCATGAGAAACTGATAAACAGTGAAGAGAGCCAGCAATCAGCAGTAGGCTGTTGTATGCAAATCTGCCAAAGTGTAGACACTTATCTCTAAACATAACGTTCATGATGGAATATTAAATTGCAGGAGGACACACTTTCCTTCACGATTGATGATCGCCCTCTAGGTTTCTGGCTGTCATGTGAATATTTGTGAGGAGATCTAATCTAAGAGATGAGATACTCAGAGGATACTAGAGGTCTCAGAAGGGAAGAAGAGGACACAATCCCAATAAGACCAAGGAGAAAACATATTACTTCCAGGACAGAAGTTCCTGTTGACTGAGCCAGTAACGAAACTCTGAGGTGTTCTTTCCCTGGCTGTGGCTGGGAGCTTTGCCAGTTGAAAAGAAACTCAAAGAGGACAGAGATCCAGATACAGCAGACCCACTTGGATCCACCTGCTACTGGAATCCTGGGTTCCTACCTCATCTGGGACACAGTGAAATGATGCTGCAGCTTTACTGCCAAGTCCATTTGCTGGGTGAGCAGCTCCTTCTGCTTCCTCAGGGACTGAAGTTTTTCCTTAAGTCTTTGATGTTCCTGTTCGTTAGGACATTGTGTTTTTAGGAGAGGATTGTGTGCACCCCTTTAAATACACACATGTGCAATCACACACACACACACATGCACGTACACACCCTTGAACACACACATGTGCATGGATGCACACATACAAGCACACTACATTGCATCCATGTTTAGTTTCCCAGATAACACTATTGTAAGAAGAGATCACCTGGGATAGTATGGAGAAGAAAGTTACCTTTCATTAACCCATACCCACTTTACCCATATTCCAGCCCAGAGGCATTTCCATTCTAGAATCAATGGTCCACCTAGAGTCTGTATTTCAACTTCTGTATAATTGTACATAGCTTCTCACAGGGCTGCACCATTTTACACTACTACCAATATCGGAGAGTTCTCATTTCTGCCAACCCTCCATCAGGACAAATTTTAACTCAGTATGAAGAAGTTTGGAATAAAAGCAGGTTCTGAATGCTGCAGACACAACATGGAGTGGGTGCTTTAGAGTGTGATGAGTCTAAGGGGTGCACTGAGACAGCCTCTCCTCACACCTCAGCATAGCTGTGGGACTTCTGCTGGGCTGAGATGCAGCCACAAGCACCTCTGTAGTTCAGAATTTCTCAGGGAATAAAGTCCAGGCCAAGCTCCAAGGACAAGGTTAGCTGAACCAACGTTAGGCAAAGGTGAAAGGAAAATGGCAGCAGGTGATGAGGAGAAGAACAAAACAGGATGCAGGGAAGTCATCAGTGGTCAGCCACCATTCACCCAGAGCAGAGAAGGACACAAACCCTCAGGCAGCCTTTCCTGCCTCTCAGTAGCCTCTTTTTCACCTTCCTGGACACCATTACTTTGTTTTTCTCCAAAGGATTTCTTTGCAGATAAATAATTCTGCCTCTACAAAGACCTGAAAAAATTTTACCTTGCATCAAATTTCTGTCTTTTGTTGTTGTTAGCTTTATGGACATGCCGAATGATGAGCAACTCCATCAGTTCTTTGACTGATGTAAAGTGGTACTAACCAGATTAGGCACAGTATTTTCACATTGAAGACTGTCTCCATCATTCTTAAAGATGTGCCATTGTTCCATGAGTGAGTGAACATACACATGGAGGCTCAAACACATATTCCCATACCCACATAGATACACATAAAGACAACACACAGATACACAGACACACACAGACACAGACACACACACACACACACACACACACACACACACACACACACAGGCACACACACACACCTTTCTTCAACCCAGAAGACCAAGGGAGAAGACTAGAATGTTACAGCACCTTTTCTATTCTAGGGAGAGGTAGTGTGTCCTCCCTGTTGTCTACAAGACTCAGACTCATCCAGGCTCTTCTGCCCTGGCCTGAACTTATTTCCCCTCCTAGGGAAGTTTTTATCGCCAGACTCACTGATTGTACAGAAGAGTAACAACCTCTGCACAACTGAGTTTGACCACCCAATACCAGGTGCCCATGGGTGATGACTGGACATGAAGCCTTCCGACAGATGCAAGTTGACCCATCATAGACTCCTCACTAAACCTACCCAGACTCCTCCACAGAAGACAGTGATAGACCAGAGAATGGAGGTCACCCATTGTCATTACTTTACCCAATAACTTTTGACCAGATTACAGTGCATATTATATGAAAACAGTCCCAAGGAAGTCACTAGGAGGCTACTTAGGTGACCTACAGCACTTTTCTGAAATGTGCACTCTATACAACTATGAGGAGGAGGAATCTGTCCAAAGACACAATCATATACATGATAGAGTGAGCATCAAAATACCAGGTTCCAAATTGTGTAGCCCGTAAGACAAACTAGAAATATCCTGGGATATTACCTCTATGCTGTGAAAGAAAAGTCTATGTTGATTTTTCAAATAGCTCCATTGTTTGATTTTTGCTATTTATTACAAAACTCATTAATTCCAATGTAATCAAAATGTGCAAAAATTAAGAGAATCCAACAAGTCAGTTCTTTTTCTGACCAAATGATTCATTTAGCAATGAGATGAGACACAAAAAGACATGAAGCTCTACTGTGAGGAGGCAGGAGATCCAAAGATCTGTGGCTATCCAGCTTAGCCAGATGAGAAAATTTCAGGTTCAGGGAGAGACCCTGGCTAAAGGGAATAAGGGAGAAAGCAACAGAGGTCACTTGATGTGGCCTTCCAACAAACTCACTAATGTGTGCACCCTCAAGCATGCATACAACACACACACACACACATACACACACACACACACACACACACACACACACCTCAAATCATAAGTGAACAGAACACAATGAGAAGGACATCAACTGAATGAGGATGACATTACCAGTTGAATTTAGACTCCTCACACTAGCTGTTTCAAGTGAGACCCACAGTTCTGCTTTCCATCATTTTGAGACTAAACATGCCTGGGGAAGCATGCTATGCTTCTGCAGGCTATGTTGGTGCAGTTGGAGAAATAATTCTCTTAAAATCTCAAATCTGCCACCCTGACGCCCACCTGTCATAAGCCCTTGCCACATCCCTGGTCATCCAGTGAGCTTCTGAGTGTAAGATCCAGGATGGGAGAACTGGCCAATGCTAGTCACAGGAAACAGTATTGACAAACTGTTACTTAAGTTTCTGTCAGTGTGAACCAAGAGTTTGACCAGGTAAAGAGAACACCATGGCAGGCTGGGAACAAGCGGTAAAGTGCCATATGACACCCAAAAAGATGTCCAGAAGACACAGTTATTTGGCTTTTGTAGGGGACATTCCTCCTTCCATACTGTTTCTGCCTCTGATCTCATATGATCTGTGCAAAGCAAGTGAGACCCAGAACCCTTGACCTCACTCACTCAGATCTCTGTGCTACTCCCTATGTGGCTCCCATCATAGCACTGCTCTTTCCGTACTACCATATCAGTGAGTGACATGTGATTTACCCATCTCCCTCGATGGACTGCAGCTTCTAGCAGAGCAGTAGGGTTTCCTTGGCAGTCATGCAATGCCTTCCAAGAGGCTAACTCCCCAGAATGACTTGTGAATGATCACAGAAATGAACAATTAGATGGGATGGGTCAGGTAGATAAGTGAGTAGATGGTTACATGGGTGTATGTATATATGTGTGTATGGTTAGACAAGTGGGCTGTTTGGCCCTGCTGCTTCAACCTACCTGCTGCTGCTCTGTCCAGTGATCATAGATCTTCTCATGGGCCTCCTCACAGAGCCTTCTCGCCTCGTCACAGGATTCTCGTAGTAAAATCTGCTCCCCCTGCAGCTTTCTGTTGTCCTCTTTCAACATGCTCACTTTTTCCTTTAGCTGAGTCCATTCACTCAGGAGCTGACTGTAGAGGGTGCTGAAATATCACCAAAAATGATGAGCTCCACCTGCTTCTGCACTCCTGGCTCTAATACCATCCTTCCTGCAAGGTGTCATGTCCCCAACCACAGATCCCTGGGATGAACCCACATTAGCCATGTCAGCATGTTTCAGGTGCAGACTAAAGCCAGAGAATAGCCAAGTTACAGAAAGATTCAAACTACTTCTGAATACCCTGACAGCAAAAGGGATCCATGTAACTCCGAAAACTGGATCTCCTACCTCTCCACCACACAACCTGGTACTTACCTGTTCACAGTTTTGGGAAAACATGAGCAGGTAGAGGGAAACCATGCTCTGAGGGGGGACAGAAGATCCAATGTAAATACATTCCATGTTTCTCATAGAAACCAGCTCTGTAAGCTCCTGCCAGAGCCACAGAAAACATTCATGGTGCAAACCATGTTTTCTCTCTAGAAGCTCCAGAAGTTGACAGGAAAATGTTGGGAGGGGCTCTCAGACTCTTCACTCTTATTAGAACTCACTTTCGGAGGCATAAGTCCAAGAGCTATAAGGCAGGCTGCTTGCTAAGAGGTAAACAGACTAGAACCTCAGCCCAACTTTGTTCTAAGGTGAGGAAGGGGAGAAGCTGCTGTGGAATGTCTTTCTGTATGCTGTGAATATGTATTGCTCCCACTGGTTAATAAATAAGCTGCTTTGGGCTATGGCAAAGCAGGATGGAGCAAGGCAGAAAAATCCAGGAGAGTCAGAGAAGCAAGTCAGAGGTGGAGGAGATGCCAGCTGCCACCCAAGGAGAAACATGCCAGCAGCCTGGCCATGCAGCAGCCATGTGGCAAGCATAGATTAATAGAAATGGGTTAATTTAAGATGATAGAGCTAGCTATCATCTTAAGAAACTTAAGCCATTGGCCATAGAGTTTGTAAGTAATATAAGCCTCTGTGTGTTTATTTGGGACCATTTGGCTTCAGGAGGTGAGTGGGACAGATTCCTCCTGACAGCTGGGTCAGGCAGGACTGTAAAAACTTCAGACTACCAGAAGCAGTCCCTACCAATTTTTGGAGTCCCATCTAAGTTAGGCACTCACCGGTAGGATTTGGTCTGCTCACTCAGCTCCTTGCACTTGTAGGAGGCCTCACAAATCTCCTTGGGGAATTTCGTCACATCTGACATCTCCTTCTTATGCTGTGTTTTCAGCATCTCAAGCTCATATTTCAGCCTGTGGTAGGGCATGGCCCCAGGAGCAAAGAACCCCATGAACACGGGTGTCAGGGACCACATGAGTTAACGTTCTAATACTACCCTAGCCCACTGGATTTCACACCCTGAATTCTATGTACTGGACCTCCTGATGTGCATTAGACTTGCCTCACTGTCCCAGGGCCAGGAAAGGCTGGGTGTCAATAGGGAAGGAGACAGGACTACATGAGCTCCCTCAGTAGACCTATAGGGGCAGACTAGCTGGCTAAGAGGGTCTGAGGAGTCTGTGCCACAGATCGGGGTCTATCTGAAATCTGCAATGACATTTCCCCTGTCTTGAGAACAGAGATTTTTTCTCCTTACAAGGATACCCAGAACTCATAATCTGTAGTGCCATGGAGGAGGCACTACATGA